CGCATACGAGGGGGTGGTGAGCATCTACCCTGTGTATTAAATCATCTGTATTAAATCACTCTTATCTCAACCCACGGGCTTCACGTTTATCCTTTAATTCTCTCCCTCATTCCTGGGGGTGGGGGAGGGGGAGTGACCGGCTGTGTGTGGGGGGGACGGTTTAACCTAACCCACGACACTGAGGCCTTGAGCATACATTTTTCCTGGAAAACCTCAGCTTAATCTTTTGATGACTGAAAAATGCTTCCGACTCGCTTAAGTCTTAAGCTTGACAGAAGATACATAAAGGAAACTTAGTAGCCGATGATTATTCAGTAGTTTTTGTTTTCTGCTGCAATTGACAAAATAGCCCTCTCCAGTGCATTGTCATTATTTTTACTTTCACTGCCTGTATATATGCTACCATAAAAGCACGTCAGTCTGAAGAGAGAATACAAGGTGAGCCCATGAATTTGGCTACATCACCTTTCTTTCTTCCAGTTTCCCTTCAAGTTTCTTATTTGCAGAAGCTTGGTTGGAAATGCTGGTTGGACACGGAAATGTTGCAAAGGTTGTACTAGGTCCACTGTCACTTTTTCTGGCCAAATTGAACACTCCAAGAAGGACAATTCCCCTGGTTACCCCTCTGGGTAAGCTAGTCCACTGCCGCACTACCCTTCTGGCGAGTAACTTTTTCCTAAAGTCCAAACAGAATCTTCCAAGCTGCATCTTGGGCCTATTGCCTCTTATTGTACCATCTGCCAGTACCAGGAGGAATTTGGTTCTGCCATCTGTGCAATTCCCATTCAAGCTGCTGTGGGCAGCTATTAGATTGCCACTTAGCTGCTGCTTTACCAGATTAAACAAGCCCAGATTCCTCAGCCTCTTCTCAAAGGTCACATACTCTTGGCCTATGACAGTCTTGCTAGTCCTCTGCTAAAGTGACTCCAGCTTTTTTTGTCCTTCTTGCACTGCAGAGCCCCAAACTGGATGCAAATTACAGGTGTATGCAGCTCCAACATCATAAAAAGCATAATTTCACTTTATCTGCTTGCTCTCATCTTAGCATAGCCTAATCCAGTTTGCCTTCCTGGTGATTAAAGGTCACCACTTTCTTCTATTCACCTGGTATCTACTATGACCTCTGCAGGTCCTTCATGGCATGCCAGCTAGCTAGTTTGTGTTTTTACTGGTAGATGGGGTTATTCACCTAGGTGCAGAATTTAGCACTCCTTGTTGAATTTTATGTGATTTATTTTCCAGAATCCTAGAGTTTCTCTGGATGGACGCTACACTATTTGATGTGTCAACCACTTTCTCCATTTTAGTATCGTCCGCAGATTTGCTGAGGGTACACTGTCTCATCATTCAGGTTATTGGTGAAGATATTGACTAACGTTGCTCCCAGTATTTACCTATGATATCCTGCCAAAAAGACATCAAGCCATTAACTACCCTTTGAGACCATCAACCCAACCTATCTAATAGTCTTTTTGTGCAGCACGTGCTTCCTCTGTCTACCAGTGAGAATGTTACAAGGACTAAAACTTCTTAAAGTCAAGGCAAGCTACATCCATCACCATTCCCTTGACCATCATCATCATAAAAAGCAATCAGACTATTCAAAAACATGATTTGCAGTTGGTAAATATGTGATGACCATCCTACATTATTTTCTTGTCCTCCATGTATTTGCAGGCTAGGCACCACCCAACAAGATGTCCTTCATGATTCTTCCAGGCAGTGAGCTGAGGCTTGTTGATCTGCAGTTACTGGATCCACTTCTTTCTGAAAGATGTAAATAGCATCTTTTTCTGGTTGGTCACCCATTCTAGTTGACTGCTATTGCCAACAGTTGCCCAGCCTTTTTTTTTTTTTTTGTTATCTTTCATTGTGCTTCTACTTTTCACCTAGAAGAGTGGGATAGTATTCTCTCTTCAGATACCCAGATTCAAAATCTTTGACTCCTAATTAGCCTTGACTGAGTAATCCTGGAGGAAGGATGGGGAGGTTTTCGGCCAGACAGACTTTAGCATTAGATCCGTAGCCATGCCAGACTAAAACAAGTTCCAGAAACAGACAGGTACTGTGAAAACTGTTAGATATTGTAAGTCTGACATAGACTCATAAATACAAGCAAAATTTACAACTGGTTGGTATAATTTCAGTTGGCTAACAGTAATCTCATTTGAGCACTACACAACCCATTCTTTCCAAAGAGTCTGGCACACCTAAGAATAAGTTCACTTGAGAAGAGCTATGCAGTTATTGCTGATCTGGAACTAGCAATAACTGTTTAGAGAGACGTTTGTGCCAATCATTTGGAAGCTTGTTTCCCTGGCTGTGATGTTTGGGTTAGCTGGCTTGGGGCAAGCTAAAATGCAGTCTCTTTTTCTGACATTAGTAACGAGCCAAAGCCCTTGGATGATATTCTACAAGGCTGTAGAGAGTATCCTGAATGTGCAATAGTTCCATTCATCACTTGCACATCAATGACTATAAACTTCCAGATAGCACCTTCATTTTGATGTTGAGTTTCAACTACAGTCAGTTAAAGTTGAAAGAATCTCCGAACTTGACAGTAAATGCATGTTCTTTTGCTACAGCCTCAAAAGGTCGGCATTACTGAGAGCAGGAGGCTGAACAGAGCAGATGAATACGTAGTTTAGCTTGATTTCATTCATGATGGACTTAAGATAAACTTCTCGGAACAAATCTGTTTTGTAGTGCGTGGGTTTTCATACAGTCATGAAAGGAGTGGCTGGGACTACAGAATCTGTGAGGCTAGCCAGATTTGCTGAGACTTTCTCAGACTATAGCTCCAGTCAACAGAGACATGCAGAGATCCTGTTATCATTTTGTTCTACTTCCCTGAGCCCATGTAATTGTGACAGTTATCACAGTCATTCTGTTGCCAGTGCAGAAGCTCCTAGGACCTCTTTGTTAACAAGATGAGTGTTGTTAACAAAGGTAATTGAAAACATGCAGGCAGTTACTCAGATAGAAGGTGCGGTGGCTTCTTATACAAATGCCACAGAAGCATCATTAAACTCTTGAGGTACTTTTCTGTTCCAGATTTTGCGAACAGGGAAAGGAGCAAAGCACTTCATTGTTAGGTTGCAGTAATTTAGCATAGTAAGTTAGACCACCCTATAGGCAGCTAGAGCTGGCTTGCTAGTTTGTTGGTAGTGCTGGCATGGCTCCAAATTGTCTCTTTTCATAAGGAAAGAAAGATGGTTATTTGTTTTTATGGGTTTATTCCAACTACCAGTCGTCCTAGGTAGTTGTGGATACCCTCACGAGTGGTGTAGTATGATAACTCACATCTTTTCCACACCTGAGAGCAGACTCCTTCATTTGCTATGTTTGCATCAGTCTAGCTCTGAGAAAGGTGTCTCCAGCTAGGAAAAAGGTGGGGGCTACCTTTTACCCAAAGACTAAATGATCTAATCATTATTTATCGCCTGAAAGGCTCCAAAGTAACAAAATTACCTAAATCCTATTTCATATGTCACAGTTAAACCTTTCCAGGAATTAATCAATGCTCAATGTATTTTATACCTTAAAATTGAGGCAAAAGACCTTAAGCACTTACCCCTTATTAATTGATCTTATATATGCTCAATATATGAAATTAAACAAACTTAAAAACACCCTTGTATACATCTCTGCTTTCTGGCTTGTCTTTTGCAGCCATGACAATTAAATATATCCCCCCTAAAATAAAAGATCTTTTCAACTAAAACATTTAAAATAAAGACAGTTTCTATTTCTTTGTATTTTCTTTGTGTCTAATTTTAAAGCAATTATTTTTTACATATTAAGGCTATTCACATCACTTTCGGGTCTATGTTCAGAAAACAGTTTTGGAACTGCCTGAAGAAAGGCTATGACTTGCTTCTTCATATAGATGCCCGTATCTGTTTCTGACTATTTCTGCAATATTGCATTTCCTATGCAAAAAGCTTTGAAAAAAGGAGTGAGGAAATAAGTTATTTTTATAGCTCTGTTCTTCTGGTTGTATCCAAAGGGTTTTCCAGCTACAACATGTGTAGAAATAATTTTGTTCCCCAAAGGAATGAAACATTATAAAATGCTACTCCCTTTATGCAGGATGAGGAAGTTGGTTAAAGATATACAGTGAAGCAGTCTTAAATGGGAAGTAAAAATTGATTAGTAGGAAATTATTTTTGCTGCAAGGTAAACATAATTATCACATGAATTGGAATGTGATCAAGAAACTGAACCCAATTAATGATACAGCAGTGTCCTGGTTTCGCTTAGGATAGAATCACAGAGTAATTCGCTTAGGATAGAATCACAGAATTAGGAAAATTCACAGAGTGAATTTTCTATTCAGAAAAGCTACATTTCTAATGTAAGCTCTGTTTTTGAGAAGACTGCAGCACTCGATTCAGTGAGAACAAAGTTGATAAGACACTTTGTTTTGGTTTGTAGCCAGCCATGGTATTCAGGTATCCATCGTGATCAAGTGCTTTTCAACTTGGTTTTGCTAATTACTCAAATGTCCAAGAACCTGGTGAGAGCGTGGCCAGGGTGATTGACACCTAAACTGGCAAATGAGTATTCCATACCATATAACATCATGCTCACCATAAACTGGAAAGTTTGTTGGAGATGGTCTCTCTTCCTCAATGGTTGCTATCCCTGGAGGGTCTCGCCTGTCATTCTGCTCCCAAGGCCCACTTCTCTTCTCCAAGACTGAGGTTTCAGGGTTTTCCTGCTCTGGGATCGCTAGCTGGGAACGGGCTGGACATTGGTCAATGGGTGGTGAAAAGTTGCACCGTACATCACTTGTTATCATTATTATTTTCCATTTTATTTTATT